GATTGTGGTGATCATTGCACAAATATGTGAATACATTAAAAACATTGAACCATATGCTTTAAAATGAGTGAATTATATGGTATGTGAATTATAGCTTACTAAAGCTGTTATCAAAATATAAAGTTTTAAAAAGACATTAGAGGAAATTGTGCGAAAGCAAGGGTCAGTCTGTTCAATACCCATTTACACATCAATGCTTAGACTAGTGAAATTCTCAGCAAAGTTCGTCAAAGGGTGAGGGGCTTCTTTTTCTTAAATCTTACCAGCTCCCCCAGGTCTAGCCTAGCTCAAAGTGTGACACCTTTTATAAGAATGGTGAATTGTCTCAGTCTTTGTGAGAAAATGTTTTTGTTTCATACTAACTCTTAAGTGGTAGTTGAGCAGTGTATATAGAATTAGAGGTTCACAATTTTGCTCCTCAAGTGCTGTGTAAATATTCCATTGTCAGCTACCCTAGGTCTCTTGTCACTCCACCATGCCAGCCCTAGAGGCCTCAAGAGCTTCTTGGTCTGCCATTAAGGTCCCGCTTTATTTTTTACCCCTGGGGACTTCCGTTTATATCAGGCTCAGCTCTGAGTTTATACGCACTTTATACACATTTCTTTGAGTTTATAATGGGAAAAGCCACTTTAGATTATCTATACCAAGTTGCTGAAACCCGTGTCTGGTACCTTCTTACCGTGTTTCCCTGAAAATAAGACCTACCCATAAAATAAGCCCTAGCAGGATTTCTAAGCATTTGCGCAATATAAGCCCTACCCCGAAAATAAGCCCTAGTGCTGGGCGTGGCTACGCAGCGCATCTGCACAACCCATGCATTTCCTCGAGGACTGGTAAAGAAAAGGAGCAGCCCTTCTCATCTGCCCCATCGTGACAGCTACTATCTCAGAGATGACCAGAAAGGTGGGCAGCCCCACCAACAAGGTCAGCTCCCCCTGTGAGGTCCCGGCCATCCTGTGCGTGCTGCAAGCCGAGGCTTTGAGGGGAAAATAACACATTCCCTGAAAATAAGCCCTAGGGTGTCTTCTTGAGGAAAAATAAATATAAGACCCTGTCTTATTTTGGGGGAAACACATAGTGTGTATATTCCTCCTGCCCCCAATGTTAGGATAATATTCCTGGGGGGGGGGTGGTGTTAGAAGGCAGAAGTATGGACTATCTAATGACTAATCATCTTCCTTCCTTACACAAGTCTCTTTCCTGAAGGAGAAGTAAAAAACAGGGAAAAATAAGTGCTGAGAAAGAAGTGCCAGCTCTTGGTGTTATAGAAAACTACAACCAGACTCTATAACCCTTTCAGAATCCTGTACCATTCCACAGATGCCTGGGCCCAAGACACATTTCTTCTGGAAAGGAAGATGCTTAAGGGAGAATCTTAGCCCCCTTCTTGGGCCAGAGCTCAGAACAGAGGCTGCTCCACTGTGAGGCTGCAGCAAGACCCTGGGCAGAACCTCCTAAGTGCAATAGCATTCCACAGTTATTGATTCTTCTCCTTGAATATCGAAGACTTTCCTCAAATAACCCCCAGGAGGATTCACATCTGGATCTAAGACAGGGAGGGGGAAAGCAGGGCCATTATTGCTCAGGCCTCCAACTTTATGAGCTTCAAATGTTGGCTGCTGTTTGGTGGCAAATTTGTTCAGGGGAACAGGGTGAGTTCTCATAGGGGCCATCTGGCTCTGAATAATAAAGCTGTACGTATAGTGGAGCAGCTGCGTGTGTGGGCTCTGAGGTCAGACTGAATATGTTCAAATCCCAGCTCTGCTGCTTCTTAGCTCTGTAGCCTTGTGGCAGTTTCTTAACCTCTCTGTGACTCAGATTCCTGGTCGGTAAGATAGGATTAATGAGACCACCCACTTCTCAAGGTTGTTGTGAAGATTTCATGAGATAATCTAGATAAGCAAATTAGTCCAGAGTTTGGGCCCAAATTAAGCACTCAATAGTTAAGTGCTTGATAGATGCTAATATTAAACTGGTTTTTGCCAGTCTTGGGCCACAGATGTACTGTTAAACGTGCCCCCACAGTTTAAATAGAAGAGTTTAGATTCTGCCCCTAAAGAGTTTGGATTCTGAATATGTCCCAACAAGTCCTATATCACCCACCCACTTCCCAACCCCCTCATGGCCAAGCTTAGGTTTACAGTGTAGGAAAGTAAAAATTTTTTTCCTCTATTCTTTTATGTTCTATTAGTGGGGCCTGCAAATTAAACTGACAAAATACAGATGAACAGAAGTAAAAACATACAAATTTTATTTGATGTTAATGTTATTTGATGTTAAAATTAAAATTTGATCTCATTGATGTTAAAATTAAAATAGTTAATATTTTAATTTTTATGTACACAAAGGCCTTCATGGAAAAGAACTCGAAGGGGCATTTCCACCCTTCTGGGTGGAACCATCAGTGCCTTCAGCCAAAGCTGCTGGGAGAAGCCAGTTATATTGGCTCACGCCTATAATCCTAGCACTCTGGGAAGCCCAGGCAGGAGGATTGCTTGAGGTCAGGAGTTTGAGACCAGCCTGAGCAAGAGCGAGACCCCCGTCTCTATTTAAAAAATTAAAATTAAAAAAAGAAAAGATTTTTAAAAAAGCTGCTGGGAGAGAGGCAGCACCATTTAGGCCCCTCTCAGATGTGCAGCCGTGAGCACCCCAGAATCCACGCCACCCCCCAGCAGGGGCCTCTGTGTTCCCACAGCTGGCAGCACCCACCAGCAGCTGGGGTCAGGAACAGGAGCTGCCCTCAAGTGGCAATGTAGGCAGCTGACTGCCACGGGGCGGGGGAGGAGTCCAGAACAACAGGAGAGGACTATCTGAGAGCAGGTGAAACTGCTGGGGTCTCCCATGAGTAACTGGAAGAAACTTTCAAGGGACTGAGTCCTATAACATAAAACTCAATAGAGACAGAGGTACGTGACATCTGAGTCTTTCTTACTTATGGGACCTTATTTTCCCCCATGGGCTAGTTACACCTGGAGAAACTTGAAAGACCATTTTGTAGCAGATGAAATTATCTCAAGTACTTGGGCATATGATAGCCCCGCTTATGTAGATGCTGAGTGGCTCTTGAAATCCTTCTAAATATAACTTTAGGATAGGTAGAACAGAGACTGAACGCTGGTTGGGTATGATTAGGCTCCATTTGTTCCATTTATCTCTAGTGATGTTAGCTTGAGGGAGAGGAAAGGCAAAAGCAAAAGGAAGAAGAATGGCTAGGGAGAAAAATAAAGAAAAGGATTGTGATTTGTCTCTATTATCATGGCTATAAGAAAATCAGCTTCATTTTTAAGACATTTTCCTTCCTCTGTACATTTTCCAGGCATGGAGTTATGAATTCTATATTATCTTTGTGTTTTTTTCAGTAGAGAAAAAACTCGACAGTGCTTTTCCTAGCTAAGAGCAATCCTAGCTGAACATGGACATCTAAACTCCTCAGGCCTGGACTAGGCCAGGTGTGAGCCAACAGGCCGAAAGAAGGGGAAAGCTGGGTGCCCAGGAGCCAGGCATCTCCCTGCGTGGAATCTGTATTTCCCAACTCATTGCACCTTTTCTTTCCTGAGGCAACAGCACTGGTGATTGATGCAGCTGCAGGTATCCCACACAACCAGACTTATGTACAGTGTCTTGGAGCTGCCAATTTGTCTGACCATTTTTGTTTTTCTGAGAATTATTTTCCACTTCCTGGAATCAGACCCAATGTTGAGGGTAATGGACCAGTGGACTTGAGTCCTCAGAGGGGATTTGGTCTCTGCCCCATCTTTCCATCTCTACTGCCACCAACCTAGATTGAGTCATAGGGTCAGTCACCTAGACTGTTGCAGTAGGAGACTCAATTGCTCTCAGACCCCTTCCTTCATCCTGCCTCCGAACTATTGGCAAGTTAGCTTCTAAAATATGTTTCTACATTCTATAATAAAGACATCTGCACTTGAATGTTTGTGGCAGCACAATTCACAATTGCAAGGATGTGGAAACAACCCAAGTGCCCGTCAATCCATGAGTGGATTAATAAAATTTGGTATATGTATACAATGGAATATTACTCAATTACAAAAACAGTGATTATCTAGCACCTCTTGTATTTTCCTGGATAGAGCTGGAACCCATCCTCCGAAGTGAGATATCACAAGAATGGAGAAATAAGCACCACATGTACTCACCATCAAATTGGCACTGACTGATCAACACTAAGATGCTCACATGGTAATAATATTCTTTGGGGTTTGGGGGAGTGGGGATGGGTTAACTCACAACTAATGGATGCAGTGAGCATTGTATGGGGGAAGGGCATGCCTCTAATCCTGGCTTGGGTCAGGCAAAGTCATAACATGTAACCAAAATGTTTGTACACCCATAATATCCTGAAATTAAAAAAATAAAATGTTTCTAATCATGTCACTCCTACTGTTTCAAAAGACCTTTGAGTTATCCATTTACATGGACTATTATTGAATAACTAAATTGACCCTATCTGTATTAAATCCCCCATTATCCAGATATCTTGTCTTCACAGACTTCACCACATTCCAATCTAACTTAAGTGTGTTCTTGCTTATTGCCTGTCTCCCCCATCCATTGGAGTGGAATATTCATATGAGCAGGTCCTTATCTGTCTGTCCCTAAAACAATGGCTGACAGGTTAGATAATAAATATTGGTTTGCTGGAGCCCATTCTCCGAAGTGAACTATAGCAAGAATGGAAAAACAAGCACCACATGTACTCACTAGCAAATTGGTACTAATTGATCAACACTTACGTGCACATATGGAAGTAACATTCATTGGGTGTCCAATAGGTGGGAGGGAGGAGACGGGATGGGTATATTAACATCTACTGGGTGCAGTGCACCGTCTGGGGGATGGGCATGCGTGTAGCTCTGACTTGGGTGAGACAAAGGCAATATATGTAACCTAAATGTTTGTACCCCCCATAATAAGCTGAAATTTTTAAAAATTGGCTGATTTAAGGACTCAATAAATCAAATTATAGTAGCCACAATGAATTCTTTTTTCGTAAATGAATTTTATTTGCTTTTACGATTACAAATGTAGTACATGCTTGCTGTAGAGAATCTGGAAAGTGCAGAGCAGTAGAAAGAAGAAAATAAGAAACACCCATAACCCCACCACCTGAAGGCCAACACTGCTCACATTATGTTCTAACTATCTGTGCCTGTTTGGAGACCAAGCCCCTCATCAAGACTGCTGGCCATGAAGCACAAAAGCCAAGGAAAGTGAGGGCAATTAACAACTGAGGGGTTCACCCAGAGGTCAGAGCTATAGATTCCACACAGAGGGACCAGATAAGAGCCACAGATCAAGAGGTCAGAAGCTTACAACACAAGAGCAAGTTGGGTTGCTGTAAGAATGTAGCGAGATGGTGCTTGTTAAGAGTTTAGCCTGGTGCCTGTCACATGGTACATTATCAATAACTGTTAGTCATTACTATCACTATTATTATTACTATGGGTCAAAACGAATGGTTCAGGATGGAGACTATAAACAGGGCAAGGGCCCTGGAGACCCATTTTAGGTGCTATGAGTTGGGGCATAGAGGGGGAAGTCTACTGGATTAAAAGGGTAGGATAGGAGTGGGCATCACTCTCCTTATAGGCTCCCCTGCCAGGCGAAATGGAACCAGGACTTCCTCAAGTTTGCCTGATGATACGTGGCAAAATACTCTAAGGTGTTTCTGAGGTAGGACATGATTTCTCCTGCCTAGACTTCTCCCTGGACCAAGAACTAAGACTGGCCTCAATGAAGCTGGGAGTTCAGAACCTCATACACCATATGCTCTTGTAGTCCACATTCTGATTGTCAGGGCAGGTCACAGGCATGTGGGTGAAATAGAAGGTCAAGTCAGCCAAGTGAAAGATAGGGTGGGATGTCCCTGGAGCGGGAGGCTGAAGGGTGAAGGCAACAAGGTTTCTGATGTAGTTGAATGGAATGGGTCCAGGATCCAGTCCTCAAGTTAGCAGCTGGGTCAGATATCACAGGACAAGAGTCCACGGAGCATTACTTATTGGTGGGGGCCTTCTGCCGGCCTGTGCTCTGTCCAAGGTGGTCATGAAGACTCTCCTGGGGATCTCCATGCTCTTTCAGGTAGTAACAGCGTTTAGAAACATGCTGGTGCTAGGAGTGAGGAAAAAATAACAGAGGTGAGAGCCACATTTACTATGACAAGAGGTGTTCTTCCGAGTTAAGTTCAGCAACCTAGCAGATCAAGGAACCCAGCTAATTTATCTACTTCTATAAAATGTATTTGGGGGGAGGGGGGGAAATGGGCATTTATTGAAACCTTAAAATCTGTACCCCCATAATATGCCGAAATAAAAAAAAAATGTGACCAAGGTCTAGACTATCCAAATTCCCTAGTTGTCTGAGTCCACAATACATGTGGCTGTATGTGGGTCCCAGCCCCCAAAAGAAGACCCCTCCCTTAGAATTGGACTTGGAACAAGTATAGAGTTGGGACTGAGCCCAACCAGTTCTCTCATACTCAGAAGACTTAGGACTTTAACCAGCCCAGGCTCTCAGTAACTTGGGCAGGACATTGCTTCTCAAAGTGATTAATAACTGCAGAGCCACACTCGCCTTAACTCAATGCCTCCCCCTTGCCCCTTCCTGACTCTACTCAAAGGAGCAAGGTGTATTCCCTATCATTGCCTCCTTATTTTTCTGCTGAAAAACCTTGAATGTATTTCCCCCTCATTACCTCCTCTGTCTGCTGCTGGGAGCTCAGTTCGTTCTCCATGGCCTCCTCATTATTCCGCTTGCAGGCTGTCGGCACAACCTGGCTTGAGTTGCCCGAGGAAGCCTTCTCTTCAGCCAGCTGGCACTCGGTATAGAGAGACCTGTCTATCAGCTCCTTTAGGCTGCTGGCCACCTTCAGGAAGATCCGACCCATTTTGGTGGTAACAGCTTCCGAGAGTCCTTCCAGAAACCTGGTCCGTAGAATGGCATCAGACCAAGACAAATGTCGGGCCAGCAGCAGGAAGTCGGTGGCATATTGCCTGACTGACTTCTGGCCCTGCTTAGGATGGCAGAGAACAGCACTGAGGATGTCTATCTCAGACAGGGAGTCATATAAGCCCTGGGATCTGCTCAGGAAAGACTTATTTTCCTCCGAGAGGGGGTTTCCTACCTCCATCTGCAAGATGGACCACCTCTCTGCTGCCCCCAGATGAAGAGACACCAGAAATGCCATTTTCTCTGAATCGTCCAAAAAACCCTTCATTTGCTTCTCCTCATCAATCTCCATCTCTTCCTCCACAGAGCATGAGCCCCGGGCTGCTTCCTGCTCTTCTAAGAGGTAATAGAGTGCTGGGGTCAACATTCCAAAGGATGGCACTTCCTTTGGTGGCGGGTTCTTAGTTTCAGGGGTTTTGGCAGTCATGTGCGGTGTAGGCTTTGATCCAGAGGCGGCGGTGTTGATGTGAGAGGCAGATGCCTCTCCAGAGTCTGTGGCTTTGATTTCCAGAGTGGGCATCATCCCAAAGGTTGTTTGCGGCGTGGACATTGCTCCAGTAGCTGGGGCCCTCCTTAGTGGCGTGGGCATAGCTCCAGAGGCTGTGGCTCTCATTTGCGGTGTGGACATCGCTCCAGAGGCTGAGGATCTCATAAGCAGCGTGGACAATGCTCCAGAAGCAGGGGCTCTCATTGGTGGTGTGGTCATCCTTCCAGAAGCTGTATGTGTCGTCTGTGGCAAGGGCACAGATCTAGAGTTCATGACTCTAGTTTTCAATGCAGACATGGCTCCAGAGGCCATGGTTTTCGTTTGGGGCATAGACATCTCTCCAGAAGCCATGGCTGACTTTAAAGGCATGGGCATTGCTCCAGAGGCTGAGGATCTCCTTAATGGCTTGGACATCCCTCCAGAGGCCATGGCTGTTGTTTGTGCAGTGGACATCTTTCCAGAGGTTGGAGCTCTCACTAACTCTGTGGGCACAGCTGCAGAGGCTGAGGGTCTCCTTAGTGGTGTGGACATAGTCCCAGAAGCTGGAGCTCTTACTAGTGGTGGAGACACCCCTCCAGAGGCTGGAGCTCGCATTGGTAGGGTGCACATGTCTCCAGAAGCTGTGGGCACCATTTGCGGTGTAGATGTCACTCCGGAGGCCGAGGTTCTCATCAGCGGCATGGACATCCCTCCAGAGGCTGTGGACGTCACCTGAGGCATGGTCAGAGCTCCAGAACCTGTGTACCCCATTAGTGGTGTGGACATTGCTCCAGAGACTGGAGCCTTCCTTCGTGGCATGGACATCATTCCAGAGGCTGTGGCTGTCATTTGTGGAGCAGACATTGCTCCATAAGCTGGAGCTCTCAGAGGTGTAGCTATCTCTTGTGAAGCCAGGGGGGACATTAGTGGCAGGGACATCTCTCCAGAGTCTGAGCCTCTCATTAGTGGTGTGTTCATTGCTCCAGAGGCCTGGGCTCTCATTATTGGTGAGGACATCATGTCAGAGGCCGGGGCTCTCATCTGCATCCCTCCAGAGCTCATGGATCTCATGAGCGACGAGGACATCCCTCCAGAGTCCTGGGTGCTCATCTGACTGGGCATCCTTCCAGGACCTGCGGCTCTCATCAGTGGCATGGGCACTGATCCAGGGCCTGGGGCTCTCATTGGTGGCATGGACATTGCTCCAGAGGCTGTGGCTCTCCTTCGCAGTGTAGACATCCCTCCAGAGGCTGTGTCTGTCATTTCTGGCATGGACAGAGCTCCAGAGGCTGTGTCTCTCATTAGCAGTGTGGACATTGCTCCAGAAGCTGTGGTTGTCATTTGCTCCATAAACATTGTTCCAGGGTCTTTGGATGTCATTAGTGGCTTGGACAATGCCCCAGAGGCCGGAGATCTCATTGGTGGCATGGACATCCCTCCTGAGCCTGTGTCTGTCATTAACAGTGTGGATGTTGATCCAGAGAATTTTGCTGTCATTAGTGGGGTGGCTATTGCTCCAGAGGCTGTAGCTCTCATTTGTGGTGTAGATGTCAATCCTGAGGCTGTGGTTCTCATTTGTGACATGGACATTGCTCCTGAGACAGGGGTTCTCATTTGCAGCATGGACATTGACCCAGAGGCTGGAGCTGTCAATTGGGGCATGTACATTGACCCAGAGGCTGTGGCTGCGGCTGTAATTGGTTGTGTGGACATTGCTCCAGAGGCTGGGGCTCTCCTTGGTGGCGTGGACATCTTTGCACAGGCTGGGGCTCTCGTGCTCTGTGTAGACATTGCTCTGTTGGCTGTAGTTTTGATAAAGCCTGTGGGCATTGCTCCAGAAGTTTTGGTCATTGTTAACTGTGTGGACATCACTTTAGAGGTTGTGGGTGGCATTTGCTCTGTGGACAGTGGTGCAGAGCTTGTAACTGTCATCAGTGGGGTGGCCATTGCTCCAGAGGCAGGGACTGTCTTTTGCAATGTAGACATATTTCCAGAGGCTGGGGCTCTCATTAGCGGTGTAGGCATTGCTCCAGAGTCTGCAGCTCTCACTGATGGTGTGGACATCACCCTGGAGGCTGTTGCTGTCATTGGTGGAGTGGACATGATTTCAGAGTCCAGATTTTGTGTTACCCATGGGGACATCACACCAGAGCCTGGGGCTGACATCAGTTGGGTAGGCATCACTCCAGAGGTTAGGGCTGTCATTAGCAGTGGGGACACTACTTCAGTGTCTGGGGCTGGCTTTGGCAATGTAGACATTTCTCCAGCATTTGGGACTGACAGCAGCGGTGTGGACATTGCTTCAGAGTCCGGAGCTGACATTAGCAGTGAAGACATTACTCCAGAGTCTGGGTCTGACATGAGTGGGGTGGACATTCCCCCAGAGTCTCGGGTGCTTGTTGGCTGGGTTGATGTATCTCCAGAAGCTAGGGCTGACATTATCAGTGAGGATAGCGCTTCCGAGTCTGTGTCTGACATTAGCAGTGAAGATATCTCTCCAGAGGCCAGGGCAGTCATTAGCACTTTGGACATTGCTTCAGTGTCTTCATCTGTAATTTGCAATGGGGACATTGCTTCAGAGCCTGGAACTGGCATTGGCTGTGTGGACATCCCTCCACAGTTTATATCTGGCATTAGGAGTGGGGATATCTCTCCAGGATCTGGGGCTAGCATTAACGGTGTGGACATTGCCTCAGAGGATGAGGTGCTCATTATAGATGTAGGCATTGCTCCAGAGGAAGGAGCTGCCATTTCCAAAGGTGATAGCTCTGCAGAATCTGGAGCTGCCATTAATGCTGCAGACATGGTTCCAAAGTCAGCAATTGTCATCATCCCTGGAGACATTAACCCATAATCTGAAGTGGACAGCAATGGCGATAATGTTTCTGAATCGGAGGCTGGCGTTAGCAATGGGGACAGTGCCCCAGAATCTGAGGCTGGCATTAGCAATGGGGACAGTTCCCCAGGGTCTGAGGCTGGCGTTAGCAATGGGGACAGTGCCCCAGAGTCTGAATCTTGCATTAGCGGTGTGGACACTGCTTCAGAGTTTGGTGCTTCCATTAGAGGTGTAGATATAGTGTCAAAGCCTGAGGGTGTCATCAACTGTGTGGAAGTCCCTCCAGGGTTTGAGGCTGAAGTTGAGACTATAGGCAACTGTGCATGAGAATGCAGGATTTGGACGTCAGCTCTGGTCTCTGGCATTGGTCTAGAGAAGGTTGTCCCCCTGTTTTGAGGGTCAATATTTTCCTCCCTCATCGTATTGTTCAGTCGCCGTGAATGTATGGGTATTGACATATCTGCCACAGCCACAGGACAGTGTGGAGAGAGCCCCTAAAGTGATGACATTAGGGGTCCTGCTGAAGCCCAGGTAGCAAGAAAATCTGTAAACAACAAACAAGTTTAGAGGTCAAAAGTCAATATCAAGGAGGTAGAGAAACACAAATGATTCACGGTGGAGACCTGTTTTTATGTGTTGTCACGTACATGGTATAGAAAATGGGCCTATCAGATTAAAGAAGCTGTGCAGCAACGAACAACTTTGGATCCAGGGAAAATATCCCTTCTGCCTCTAACCTTTTCAAATCAACCCACCTAGTTACACAGCACAGCCTCTCAGTTTATACGTGCTGTAAATGCCAGCAACCTCAGCAGCGAGCCTGGGCAATCCTGGATCAAATGAAGCGGCAGCACCACCTTCTGGCCGTATGTGAGAAGTGCTGGTTCCTGAGCTACATACTATCCCACCGCCGCATTCACAAGACAGCCAAGGTACTTACTGGCCCGTCTGGATGGGAAAGCCCTTTGCCCCAGGATAACCATTAGTTCCTCAAGCTCACTGAATCCTGCCAGCGGTTTAGTTCCCATTTTACCACTCTGATGGCCCTGAATGTCCTCTTCAGGAAAAGGAAGGTATTTATCTGGTCAATGACTGGGAGCAACATTCTATGAACTGAAAATCCTGTTTATTATTATCATCATTATTATTAATAACAACCACCACCACTACTACTACTATTTATTGCTCACTTATGTGCCAGGTACTGTACTTTAGGCAACTGTACACAACTTCCTATAACGTGCATGGCTTTATAAAGCATTATTCCATGTGGGTCTTACAACATCCTATGCAATAGATAATATTATTATTCCCACTTCACCAGCTTTCTCAGATTAGCTGGAATTGAGGCTAAAATAGAATCACTGCAACAGCAACAAAATGTATATCTTTGACTTTCACACCCTCCCGGAAGTTGCCTAGTATTTGGCATCCCTAAGGTTGTATTCAATTATTTCTCTGACATCCTAGACCATGGCTCATGTGAAGTCCAGTCTCTAGTATGTACATATTTCAAGTTCCTCTGATGACATGGGGGTGGACAATCCCAAAGTCCTACCCGTCCAGCCCTGCTGTCATAAGCCTCAAAAGAGGCTCTTTGACACAGAGCTTGGAAACTAATGTAAATATTACACAATGTTGACATGTCCCCATAGCCTACCCAGGCTAAAACTGGAAAACGTGCTACTTGGGGACAATGTAACAAAAGTCATCAACCTAGTGGCCTTGGGCCTTCATAATAATAAAAAGAAAACTAGCAACAGAAATACCGACAGCGAATATTTCTTGAGGACGCACTGACTGGCAAGCACTCTGCTAGGCACTTCATGTGCATCATCTCATTTGATCCCCACAGCAACACGAAGAGATTTGGGTAGCATTCTTCCTTCATCTTACAAATGAGAAAATTCAGGCCCAGAGAAGCTTAATAACTTGCCTGCAGTCACACAGATTCCCAGGTCTGTTCACCTTCAGAGCCCCCTACTCTTCATCACTATTGTGCTACAGTGATCCATTTTCCCCCCTTACTCAGTCACATTACCAAGACCCCTTCCTCTACCTCCAACCCTGAGATGGGGTGTCATAAAGGAAATGCTGGCTTCCTGCTGACACCTTGGTTATTGTAATTGGTTCAGCGGGAAAGATGAGTCCAAACAGTGGTCATAGACCTCCACCTCTCAGCTTCAGAAAAATCCCTGAACATGCCACAGTCTCCCACCAGGCAAAACCCAGAAAGATCTTACCTTGCCAGTGACAGAGGAAATGGAGAGAGTATCCTTTGCGCCCCCAGCTCCTTTAGTCTGGACAATTGACTTATACCCTGTGCCCAACCAGTTCATTAAAGTAAGACCCAATACCAGCAGCTGTTCTCTGCAATCTCCCTTAGCTATCCCCTGCCACGCCCCCCTGCCCGCCAGCCAGCCTGCCCGCCCACCCGCTGTACTGCTCCTGACTTGCTACTGCTTGCTCTGTCTCTCTGGTCCCAGATTCCTGCCTCTATATAGGCTCTGACATTTGCCTCTGGCCGCCTTGTACTTGACAGCCCTCCAGAAGCTCCGCTTTAACACTTGGCCTATGCAACTCCACCCCACTCCCCCTCACCCCCAACAGTCCCACCGGCCTCCACCTCACCCCACTGTGCCTGCCTCTGGGGGTCCTAAAGAGAAGAGGAGATTGGCACAACTAAGGAGATGAGACTGAAAGGGTCCTGACTCAGGAAATAAGACATATGCCCTCTGCAGTTGGGCAGACACAGAAGTCCTGGGGGCCGGGCACTGCGATTGGTATGCCATGGAAGTACAGGCAGGGGCTTTGGGGCCGGGGAACTGGGGCCAGAGACTGAGTGCAGCAGTGTCGGAAACATTCAAAAAGATTCGAGTGCAGGGAAAGCAGAGCCTGAGAGGATGGGCAGTGGGGGCTGGGGAGCAAACACCACACTAGAGCCCTGCAAATTGTGATAAAAACCAAGCCAATGTGCCCCAGGGTCAGAGACACACGGGGAAATCCGGCAACTGGTGTCCCTGCCACAGGGCTAGGATTCAACAGCAAGGCTCCATGGATTTCAGACAGCTGGCAAGAAAACCATGCCAGTTTTACGCATACCAGGTGAGGGCTTGTTCATAGAAACAGAGCCACAGTCTGCTTTCTAGAACTGGGGCACAAGGTCAGAATAGAACTAGCAGGAAGGTTTACCAGAATCCTCCACTGTCTTCTTGAATCAATACCACTTAAAGCCTCAGTCTAAGGGCAGAATTGGTCCCTGAGCCCTGGATAGGGCAAAGCCTGCAGGTGAAGTTCAAGTAGCCCAGGCACAGGGAAGCAGAGTTTGTTGAGGGAGGCATTCAGGTTGTTGTAAACCTTATAATTAACAACCAACAGTAACTGCGCACTCGAGCTAAGCACTACATATGCATTATATCTTTCTGGCCTCCCCGCAACACCTGTAAGGTAGGCATTGGCGTCATTCCCATTTTATACATGGGGAAATGGGCTTAGAGAAGGCTCTGTGACCAAGGTCACAGAGCTAGTAAATGGCAAAGCCCAGATTTGAGCCCCATTCAGGCTGGTTCCAAAATCATTGTCTCTCTTTGTAATCAGACAAGTGATTAAAAACCCAAGGTGCTCTACTCAGTGCCATTCCCCCTCACCCCCATATCACCAAGCAAGGAAACTTTCTTACAACAAATGGCTGAATCATTGCAGTAGTAATAATAACAATAATGAAAATACCAACTAACCTTGCTTGAACTGTTCCCATATGCTAAGAATGGTGCTAAGAGCTTTCACCAGCATTATCTCATTTGGTCTTTACAACTACCCTGCGAACTAGGTCCTTTTAATTCCCAGTTTACAGGTAAGGAAACTGGGCTTCAGTGAAGTGAACTGACATGATGAAAAGCACACAGCCCTATCTTACTCCAGAGATCACTATAGTATACTACTCAAAAAGAAAAATTCCAGTCATTCTCCCTTCTCCTCTAAACCAAAAAAAAAAAAGTCACAGAAAACCCTCTATTACCAACAGCATCATAACAATTATTATTATTATTATTAATAATATACCTAACAATAAAAAGCTAACACTTACTGTGCCAGGCACTGGGCTAAGCGTTTACCTACATGATCTCACTTGAATACTCCCAGCATTCCTATGAGATAGGGACTATTATCACCTTCATTTTCCAGATGAGAAACCAGAGGCACAGAGAGGTTAACTAGCTTTCCTAATGTCACACAGCTATAGAGCACTTTATGTTGTTTATGTCCTACCATCACAATTTTGGAAATAACCTAAATGCCTAATGTTAGAACATAATTCATTTAATGATAAAATGAATCATGGTGCAGCTGTAGCAGCCACTAATGTAGCCATTGAAAATTATATTCTAGCATGAACATAATGATCTGATTTTTATAAAATAGATGTGTAGATTTTTGCATAGAAAAAGGAAAGCCTGGAAAGATATATACCAAAATGTCAACAGTGGCTATACTTGAACAGGGGGATTAGAGGGGATTTTTATTTTCGTTTTCCTTATCTGTATTTTCTCATTTGTCTATAATGGACCCATAATACTTAAATAATAAAAGTTAATTTTCTTTGATCTAAGGTTCTATCTCTAGCCCTTTCCACTCCCCTCCCTGTATGCTCACTCTAGGGATCCCCAACAGCCCCTACCCACACAACCTTTGTCCCCAAAGAAGCTTAGCGATTGCACCACTAGGATCTTTGGTCAGCAATGACCTCTGAAAAGTGTCTCCAAAGACTGGCTTTTATTTTATATTTTTTGATGTGTTTTTACAAAAAGATTTCTTGTTTCTCTAACTTTTATTTATGTTTAATAATTACATAAGTCATCTAGGAATATATTCTCAGGATAAAAACTTGAAATCCTCCATATAGATAAAGCTAAAGTCCTCAGACTACCCCACCCCCTATCCCTACAAGTCCCATTCCTCTGCCTGTGCACAGTTGGGTGTGTCTCCTTCCAAACTTTTTCTAGCTGCAATGGCATTCAGAGTTCATATCATGCAATTGCTTGCAAAACCCAGTGTGTGCAAAGAGCTACAGTTAGAAAACCATTCTGGCACTGGTCACCCCAGGGTTCCAAGTTCTGGCCCACTGTGACTGTTTTCATCAGCCCGCTTCTAAGGAGGCTACTAAGAGGGAGTATCTTGCATGCTCAGCCCATTTGAGGCATAGACTTCCGTTCTATTAAAGCCAGAGTCTCTAGGAATGCAGAGAAGGGAGGCCTTCTAAGGAAAGAAAAGCCCAGACATTGCTGCTTAGCATCTCTCAGGTCCCTCACATCCCACCCAGTCTGCACTGATCAATACGGCTAGAAGGTGGCATGCTCCTGCCGCCTCACAAAAGGTAATCAAGTTTGGGAGATTGCATGGCTAGCTGCGCAGGGAAATGAGAATAAACAAGAGACAGTTCAATATGTCAACAAATAGCTTTCCAGCTGTTGAAAATAAGCCTTTCCCTAGATCATCTCCCCCAGCCCTAGCAAACAAGCACCCAGATAACTGAAAACAGACAACCTAAGGATAAAGAAATACCTGGTCTCCTTTAGGGTTCTCTGCCTTCCCTGATCATTCAGGAAGGAAAAATGCTCCCTATTTCCTTGCTCACCAACAGCCCTGACACTTAAAATGCCCACCCGGCTGTTTATAAATAAAGAGGGGGAGGGGAATCGCTAGTATTTACTGAGTGCTTACTATGCCAGACACCGTGTTAAACGCTTTACATACATTATAGTATTTATTGCACAATAAACCAATAAAGTGGGGTTTGTACCCTCATTTGACAAATCAGCTAAAGAACTGAAGTAGAGAGAAATTAAAATGAAGTAACTTACCTTGGCTCTCACAGCTGAGAGGGAGTGAAGCTGGGCTTGTCACTCGGGTCTGTCTGACTCAGCTAGTGCTCTTAACTCACGGGAGAGTCACACACTGTCTTCAAGTCTCTGAAGGGCTGTCATATGGAAGAGAGGGTAGGTGTGTTCTGGGTAGCTCCAAAGAAAAGGATTTGACTGTTAGTTGGGAATTACGCTTTCATTGGATGTGCTGCAAACTCCCCAAACAACATGTATATGCATGTCCAACTCTATAGGGAAAAGAACATTATAAGAAGAGCAAACGGAACTGCCTCGCATTAGGTGCCGTCCTGAAGGATCTGTGGAATCAGAGAGAACAGGAGGGATACCGAAGGACTGCAAATGGGCAGTGTCCCAATTTTCTTAAATAAGGAAACTACAGACCGGTATACTGTAAACTCCAGAGCTGTAAGCTTGATGTCAATCCTCGGAGAGATTCTGCCGCAGATTTTGAAACAGGTAATTTATAAGCACTTAGAACATGAGTGGCAATAGGAGGTAGCTAGAGGTACTAGCAGAACTCTCAAAATTAGACCAGGTTCCTAGACTCGCAGCTATTGCAAACCAAAAAACTGGAGGACTGATATCAGGTTGACAGATTTTCATTTTTCCAAGTAAAGGCATTAAGAAATAGAACAAAACAACCCCAAATTATCATTTCCTAAAAAGAAAGGGCTTTCTTTAAGCACTAAAAGAGAAAGGAAAAAATCTCAGAATAAAGGAAAGTAAACGAAATAGATTTCTGTTCTCTTTCAAAAAAAAAAAAAAAACCAACAACAACATATACTACCTAGTCCTCAGGCTTTCTCACTGCACCCTGGACTGCTGCAGTTTTCCTGGAGGATGGGCACTTGTCCAAGGACCTGCTTTGGGGAATCACTCAGAATTAAAATATCAACACAGATAAGATCAGAGACCTGTAAGACAGGAAGTCTTTCTGGCTAGAAGAGAGAAGAACAGAGTTTGACCTTAGCGTAAGTGAGGACATTAACATAGATAAAGAAAGTGTCCACAGGAATGGACTAAGAGAAGTAAAAGTTGCCAAGTGTGGATTCAAGCCCTGCTCAGGCGGGACTTGGCCAACACATTTGACCCGTGCCACCCCTTGGACCACACGCCTCGCTTGTAGGAATAGTGTCTGATGCCATTAAGCATTTGGAACACAAAACAGTTTCTGACTTGAGGCTCCCCCAGCAACCTTCAGACTATTACTTGTCTTCCCAGTGAGAGTTTCTAAAGGCAAAATTCAAAACCAGCTGAGTACCACTGCCAGAGTGGGAGTTCTGCAACGACCTAGAAGAAGGTCTCTAGCCTTCATGATCTCCTGTTCAGCATTTTTATCAATGGTATAAATAAGGGCACGCTTCCTGCCCCTGATGTAATAATATAAAAAAAAAAGAGAGAGAGAGAGAAAGAAAAAATAAAATAATTTTTAAAATAAATAAATAAATAAAGGCACGGATGGGATTCTTACAGATTCTCTAGGTCTGAGAAGAACCTCTACGATCAGCCTAGCAAGTCAGTTTACAGTTTAACTTTCATAGTTTACAATATGTCTGTCTGCATTTGGTAATTTTCTCTATGTTCTCTGTTGCCAGTGCACTGATTTCCTGCAGTTTGTGCTCTTCGTGGAAGAGGCTTAGTGAAAATATACACTAGCTAGGAGCTCTGCACCCACCCTAAAGAGGCAATAGGATCGTCTATACTGCTGAGCACTCACCTCAATCCCATCATCTTCCCTCAAATAACTGGTGTCAGTGTAGGCTTCCTTGATAAGAAAAGAGAAGTGATGTCCTGTTCTTTGTAGAATTGGCTCATTTCCAAAACACTTTAAATTGGAGTTTGACCACATCTGTTGACACTGACCCTGTTTCTGAAGGTGAAGGCAACACAGTACACAGTATTTGCTGTCCTCCCTACAACGGCATTTCTCAAAAGCATAGCGGGGGCAACCCTTGCATCAGCTGCGCCCTGGGAGGATTGAGAAAATGCAGGTTGGGGGGCGGCGCTTTCCAAGTGTCAGACTCTGATAGGTCTGGGGTGAGGTCAAAGAACCTACATTTTAACCCAAGTGATTCTGAAACATTCTAGAGTTTACGAACCACTGGCATTGGGGTTCATACACCCTGCGTTTAACTTCCAGCAGGCCTGGGCTTGAACCCCAAAGCCTCAAGTTACTTCACTTTAGTTTCCTCATCTGTAAAACAGGGATACCAATAGTGCCCACGTCACACACTGTTTGACTGTTTTAAACAAAGCAACATGTGGAAAGAATCTGGCATAGAGCGGTGGCTCACGCCTGTAATCCTAGCTCTTGGGAGGCCGAGGCGGGCGGATTGCTCAAGGTCAGGAGTTCAAAACCAGCCCTGAGCGAGACCGTCTCTACTATAAATAGAAAGAAATTAATTGGCCAACTGATATATATATAAAAAAAAATTAGCCGGGCATGGTGGCACATGCCTGTAGTCCCAGCTACTCGGGAGGCTGAGGCAGAAGGATCGCTCGAGCCTAGGAGTTTGAGGTTGCTGTGAGCTAGGCTGACGCCACGGCACTCACTCTAACCTGGACAAAAAAGTGAGACTCTGTCTCAAAAAAAAAATAAAATAAAAAAAAAGAATCTGGCATAGAGCTGAAGCTCAGTAATCTCTCCTGGTTCTGCTTATTCATTGGCCCTGCTGCCTGCCCCCTCTGTGTTCAGCTTCTGCCCTGTTGCCAACTGCTCACTCTTTCTAGGTCTGCTATACAAACCCCCCAAGAGAGAGACTCTCATTGGTCCAAATTTAGTCACCACTGTACTTCTTGGGCAAAGTTCTCGTCGCAGGTTCGTTCCTTCATAGGCTGCTCGCCAGCCTATAGAGTAACAGCTCGTGGATCAGATGCCCTCTCCTGGCTCAATCGGCTATTGCCAGGGGAAAGCAGGACCACGTGGTCCCAAACATAGCCACCTATTCATAATAAACTGCTACTTCCCTCAGCTAGGGTCTGTGGATGGAAACTCCTTAGAAGGGGCCCGTGGGTGTGGCAGGAATTCTGAGGCTTAGCCCGTCCAGTACACCTAGGCTTCTCATTTATCCAGCCTGCCAAAGGAATGAAGCATTCAAGTTCACTGAAGTCTCTATTTAATTCTGACTTTTCATCTCCACCAGGCTAAGAACACCAGTTTTTAAAAAACTAGACCACAGTCAAGGAAAAAAAAAAAACACTTAACCCTAAAATGAGACTTTCTGTTTCTACGACACGTTTGTAAGTTTCCAAAGCACTTTCACATCTATTTCCTCATTGCAGAACTTAAAAACTGGCCACTGCAGGCTAGTTCCAGACTGCAGACACATTTTATTTGACCCATACAGTGTTTTTAACATTTTTAAATTAGTTGCCAACATTTAAAAGTCAAGAGATTTCACATAAAAAGCTAGATTTCTGGCTTCTCTGGGGAAAAAGAAAGAAAGAAAGACTTGGATCCTCACTCCAACATGGCAACAGTCAGCTGGAGCTGAGTAAGCTGTTCCTTGCAGAACCAGCACGTGCTCACCACTGTGCCTCAGTACCCACCTGGCCACCTTTACTTTTTCACAGAGAACTGATTGGCCCCTGTAAGCATCTGAAGCCTCATTTTAACTCCATGGATTAGGTAGAGAAAGTGGTTAAGAGCGCAGATTTTCAAGCTGAAGTGTCTAGGATGGAATCCCAGCTCTGCACCTAAAACTGGCTTTGCAACCCTGGGCAAATGATTTAACCTTTCTCAGGAGTCTGTTTCCTCATCTGTAAAATGGGGATGATAATAATAATACTGCCTACCTCATAGGCTTATTGGGCCAACTAAATGAGTTAATGCACACTTAGAACGATGCCTGGCACATCGCAAACACTAAATAAGTATTAACTTCTTTCATTGTCCACAATTTCCTATATGCTTCTCTGATATACCAAAGTTTCTAAAAACTAAAATTTTTGTGGCAAGGTCACTTGGTGCCAAAATTGGGGATTAATTGACATAAAGCTATTCATTTATCTCATTTAGAAATAGTAATATGTTTGATCACAGGGTACTGCCCAAGATCCCATTAAGGACTGCTATATAATATATGTTATATGTACCATATTGCTTTTCTAAAATCCAAAATTTCTGAACTCCAAAATATGCCTAGTTTCAATGATTTCAGATAAGAGAGTGTGAACCTGTATTATTAGTAGTAGTATACCCAGTTGACAGATTGGCAAACTGAGCTACTGAGCATTAGGCAACTTGCCAAAAGTCCCACAACTTGAAAGCAGAAACAATTTCAACCCTGAGACATGAGACCCATACTTCCTAGTCTTATGGGATACATTGGGCTCCCTATAGGCATGTGTATGCAGGTAATGACTACTAGTAAAGACCCCCTGAAAAATTGAAGGACATCCCCATTACTTACAGTGACAAGCCGTTCCCTAAGTACCATTCTTTCAACTCTTCGCATTCCTCTTCACTATATACCACTGGGTTAGGATTAGGACGGGGATTACTGTCTTCAGTTTACAGAAGAGGAAACTGAGGCCCAGAGAAGAGAAGCAACTTGCCCAAATTCACACAGCAAAAGACAGGCAGAGCTTGAACTAGAAACCGAATTCTGCGCTTTTTCTTCTTAAACCCCAGGGCCAGTTTAAAAGCTACATATGCTGACCTTTCCACATATTGATCCTCACTCTCTGCAGGCAGTCCTAACGTTTTCAACATACCTGATGGAAGGAGAGTGTCCCAAGATCTCAGCAAATATAAAAATGAGACAGCATGTCTGGGTGGACCTCAACCTTCCCAGAACCATAGGCAGCAATGTACAGACACCATCCAGTCAGAAGCCAGGGAGGGGAGATTTCTCAAATCCCAAGAAAAATCACAGAGACCCTACTGTTTGCTCTTCTCTGTTGATTTTTTAAAAGCTGACATTTACTTGTGCCAAAGGCCAAAAGAAATGAAAAATCTACTGGAAAGGGAATTTCATCAGTCATGAAGCAATAGCTTAAAGAAACCTTTGCATAGTATCAGTTCCCTTGTTGGAAATGCAGAAAATAAAGCAATGCTATTTCGTATTGTTAGCACATCAGAAACCTGGACATG